CATGGTGACTAGGGTAGCAGCCAAGAAATCACATCTCAAACCATACCACAAACCGAAAGTGCAAATGTCAAAGACAACCCCCATTGACACACTTCCTCCAGCAAGGCCACCTCTCCTAATTCTACCCAAATACTGTCACAAACTTGGGATCATGTGTTCAAATGGCAAAAATACGGAGGACATCTTCTTATTCAAAATAACACAATGTTCTCATTCGTTTTTTTATACATCAACTTGGCATAATCTTGAAGAGAGAGCCCCCACTGAAAAACGGACGTAATCAGATTGGCCTGTGGCTGTATCTGTGAGGAACTGTCTTGATTAATGACTGATATGGAGGTGACCATTCCTGGGCAGGCGGGCCTAGACTTTATAAGAAAGGTGGTTATGCTTTTCTGGGGAACTTACCAAATTGATAAAGCGACTAGCAAACAAAAGTAGGTCATAATCACCATGTGGTCACAAAGTGTAATTGTGAAAAGCTTGAGTTCTCATTTCTCCCAATCGGTCTTGGGCAGCTAGATTTTTTAAATGGAGATTTGCAACAATGAAATTGCAGTGTTTACTGCTACCATGAAGTGGTCTACTTAAATATATAACCACCAAGTGCTTAAAATACTTCCTATAAAAATTTCATTTTATTCCCAGCCATCTGCAATTACCTCACTCAAGGATGGAGGGGACATAAATAAATTTAACAAAAGATCTGCTTTTCCAAATACTCAAATATTCCTTCCGTGTTGTGTATAGAAATAAAATACTGTAGTTTGTTCTTTTTGCATAAAATAATTCTCAGCAATATCAGTATGTCTCATGTGCCACAGATTAAATCTTGAATATTCATGCTGGCATTTAAAAACCTTCTGCTGCTGTGCTACAACCTAGTATTAAGAAATGTGTTCCAGCTCTCCTTTAGGGAGAAAGAATAACTGCAAATTAAATCAAAGCTGTTGCTTATCAAAGAAAGCAAGCATAAAGAGAAAGAAAAAACTGTAAGAAGTGAGCGAGGGCAGATTAAGTTCCCAATGAAATTTGAATGTTTTATTGGTCTGGAGCCTGGAGAGGCTAATACTCAAGCAATGATCACTATCTTTAGACACCAAGCATCCCCTGTACTTACAAGTCCCATTGGATAAACAGGAAATTGAATCCCAGATGATGGAGGCAAAGTTGAAAGAAATGGAGCAGGGTTGGCCATCAAGAAACCCAGCAGATAAATAGATATGTTGTTAAACTGCCTTCCAAATATTTATGGCTATGCGTAGATTAGTGCTGCTCTCTCCCTTGGCCAGAGGAGCCCCTGAGTGGTAGGACACAGTGCAGACACTCATAACTGGTCAAAGTGCTGAGATTAAATGATTGTTGAATGCTCAAACCTAAATGGGACACCTATACCACTCCCCCCTCAAGGCCCAGGGACTATCACAGAATAGGAGCAGAATGAGTATAAGACCTGGAAAGTAAGCAAGAGTACTGGGAAGTGCTGTCTTCAATAGGACATGACCCTTCCATTAATGAAATCACTGCCGCTATGGTTTCCTGCACAATGCTCGCACAGGTGAAGCCAGCGAGATTCTAGCAGGAAGCACTAATGGGTTCAGTGGATTACAACAAAAAGAAAGGATATGATGATGAGAGGGGGGCATGGAAGGGATGTCCAGAGGGAGAGAGAAGAGGCAGTTGGGGTTGGGCCTATTGGAGACACAGTATAAATACAGGAAATTGTCAAAGAAGAAATATGACACTATTGGAAAGAAGCCCAGTAGAGTAATGAACCTGGGAACTTGCTTTCAAGTTCCTCCTTATAGACAGAAGAATGGAAACTGACTCTGACTGCAAGGCTTGCTTGCTTGAGATTTAAGCATTTACTCACCGTTTGTGATGGACTTATACAAACCCAAATCCTAGAGATACAGACCAGTGTTCCTCAATCTTAGAACTATTGACATTTTAGCTCAATATTTATTATTTGTTGTTGGGGGTGCAAATTCTTGGGCTTTACCCAAGTACAATGCAAACTAGGCCAATGATTGAATACAATTTCTTCCTTCGATGTGCTTGCTTCTTTTTGTTGTTTCCCTGGGAGATTACTGTGGCAGATGGGCACACTTTATACTGCTAGATTGTTTTTGCAAAATGCTGGGAATTGTGTACATTTCCACTAGAAGTGTTTGCAAATAGTCTTTCTTCTAGCAGTATTTTGTTATGCTTTCTTTTTGCCAATCTTGTGGGCAAGCAGTGATTTATTTATGTATATGTCCCTCTGTTTGTTTTTTAAGACAGGGTTTCTCTGTGTAACAGCCCTAGCTGTCCTGGAATTCTGTAGATCAGGCTGGCCTCGAACTCACAGAGATCTGCTTGCCTCTGCCTCCTGAGTGTTGGGATTAAAGGCATCTGCCACCACTGTCCAGCAAAGAAGTGATTTTTCTGGATACTTTTGCAGTAGTGAGAATCACATATGAAACAGTTACCTGGACTCTTCTATCTAATAAATGTGGAATTACATAAAGAAAGAACTGTAAACTGTAAAAGAACTGTCTAAAATGGTCATGGCGTGATGGCTGGCTGACCCAGAGTAAAGCAGATGTAGTTCAGGCCCTAGTGCTTATTGCTGCAGTATTCCTTCTTGCTAGGGAATGGTCAGTGCTCTTTTACTATTCAGTCTTTGACTTGTGAAGTCTACTCACTGCTATAAACGGAAACTTCATCCAAAGAGACACAGAAACATTGAAAGCAATACAGGACTAAACATATGAGCATTTTGGCCCACGTAAGGTGCCTATTAATATTTTTACTGTTGAATGGTTTATATTCTTCTATTTACTTTCAAACCAGGGATGTTAGCCAAATCAGTGTGTTGCAAGTATCTTCTCAAATTTCATATCCTTCAATTTTTGACATGATTTCTTATGACATATACTCCCTTTTGGGGCTTGTTTGGTTTTTGAAACAGGATCTCCCTGTGTAGCTCAGGCTGGCCTGGAAATCACTCTGTAGACCAGGCTGGCCTCAAACATGAGGTACTCCTCCCGCCTCAACCTCTCAAGGACTGAGACTATAGGCCACTATGGTCAGCAGCATATAACTTTCTAAATTATTGATTTAATACTTTATGATAAACGAGTAATAGACTCACTAAATTTAGAAGAAAATTATACAGGACGTGTGATGCCATCAATCTGACAATCATTTTGAATTTCTAATCTTCTAAGTTGACCTTAGAAGACTTTTTGGCATTTATTGAAACTCTACGTACGAATTCAAAGTGCTTGGAAGAAGTTGAAACAAGGCCCTTGGCCCTTTTCCAGGAAGGAACCCAGATCGACATCTCCATATGTGAAAAGCAGCTTTTGGGAGGAGGCACAGGGTTCAGAATCATTCAAACATAGGCTACTTATGGTTGATTCTTAAAGCTGGTTGGATGCATTTCAGAGGTTAATGTTATATGGGCTCACATTATGAGGTATCAGTTTATATATGGAAAAATTCCCTTCAAATTTGTTTAAAACATAGTCTAAGCCAGTGGTTCTCAACCTTCCTAATGCTGCAACCCTTTAATAATTCCTCATGTTGTGGTGACCCCAATCATAAAATTATTTTCGTTGCCACAACTGTAATTTTTCTTTGTTATGAGTCTTAATGTAAATATGTTTCTCAACAGTTTTAGGCAACCCATGTGAAAAGGTCATTTGACTCCCTTAAAGGGGTTGTGACCACAGGTTGAGAAACACTGGTGTAAAGCAGCTGAACTATTATACTCAATTTCTCAGTTTTCCTAAGCATCTGTTGGCACTCGACTTTCCTTAAAGCCATAGTAGAAAAGTTTAGCTAACTTTTATTTTAACCTGAATGAAAATACACATATGTATTGAGGAAAATGTTCAACCTCTCTCAGCTTTATGTAAAGGTTTCTCAAGTCATTTAATTTTATATTTCTTATTATCATGACTACCACCACCAATTTAGTATCCTATATTTTATTCATATTATTTTCATCATGGGCAAAAATTGTGTAATTTTTATAGCCTTCAGTATACAACTATATTTAACGTTAATTTTCAATTAATTTATTCATCTGTGGTGCTAGATTTATTTTTAAATAGAAGCTTTCATTTCTCATGTGGAGAGATAGCCCCTACCTACTCCTGGCTGTGATACCACACGCAATAAGATTATTGGCTCCTGTATAATGCAAGTAAAATATTTTTTTAATTCACTTACCTTCTAGACAGATAGGTCCAGTTTTTAGCTCATATTTAGATGGTCGATTGACAGCATTGTCATTTTCGTTTTTGTTTTTTTAGTTAGGTAAAAGAATGAATCATTTGAATCTATAATAATTTTATTGTTGGGTTCTGATAAATCTTTTCTTTTGGAAGTGTGACAGACAGTTTTGATATGAAACCCTCTATAAAATGGGGCCCACAGAACCTTAAGGACTTTGGCTTAATTATTAATTATTCATGTTCTTATATTACTTATAATATTTTGAAGGAATTCCTGTATTTGAAAAGATGAGTAAGTTGATTTTTAATTTGAAGGTTGAAGTTGAGTGTGGTGGTGCACACTTTTAATACCAATGTTCTGGAGTCAGAGGCAGGCAGAGCCCTATGACTTTGAGGCCAGTCAGGTCTACATAGCAAGTTCCAGGCCAGCGGAGGCTACAAAGTGAGAGACCATATCGCATAAAACCAAAATAAATAAATTAATCTAGAAAAGTCTCCTAAAATCAGTCTGGAAGGTGAGGTGACTCACAATAATCATCGAATATATACATATTTTTGATTTTTCGAGACAGGGTCCCTCTGCTACCGCAGCCCTGGAACTCGCTCTGTAGACCAGGCTGGTCTCGAACTCACGGAAATCCGCCTGCTTCTGCCTTCCCAGTGCTGGGATTAAAGACGTTCGCCAACACCGCTCCGGCTTCAAATAAGAATCTTAATAATTCTCTCCTCTCCTCGCCAACTCTCCCTTTCTCCCCTCTCTTCCCCGTCTCTAGAAAGGATTTCCCATCCTGCTCCGATCCGTTGCTCCAATGTAGACCTTGGTCCGACCGAACTACAATTCCCAGCTTGCTGTGGACCTCCGCGGTTGCAGTGCACCCTGGGAAAGAAGTGTCCAGCTCTCCCCTCATTGGCTATGCGGCGTGCGCGCAGAGACCACGCAGCTCTCGGCGGGATTCTCCGGAACTCATTTTGCATCTTAGACGTTGTCAGCCGGCGGGTTTAGAGAACAGTTCCACTTCCGGTACCACCGGAAGCAATTTCGCGATGGCATCTTCTTCTGCGGATGAGCCTGCCAAAGCGGCTCTAAAGGGTGACTCTCGCCAGCAGAAGCAGAAGCGCGAGACCCAAGGTGAGGTAGTGTGAGAAGCGAAGCCCGGAGGTGGTGCGTCTTGAAGCCTCATCTGTTTATTTCCTTGGCTGCGGACTTGGGTTAAGCCTCCCCTAGACTGTGAAGTGCCTGCAGTTGGAATTGTTCATAATTAGGGGATGTTGATCGCGCCGGCCACGTGTTTTTCTAAGTCCGTGCTTTTGCCCGGGTGGTTGAGAGGATGCCGATTAGGATCAGGTGGGATGGAGAAAGCTATGAACCGCGAACGCTGACGATGGAGGAGTGAGGCGGACAAGGCAGGTGGGAAGTTTGCCACAGCTTTTATCCGATTGCTAAATTACTAGATGACACAGCTCAGTCTATAGTTTTGACCGCTAGTTTGGTTTGTAATGCCGGAGTTGGATTATTCTCTGGCATTGTAATTTGTGTTTTACCTACCTTCAATATGAAAATGGATCACAAAGAAATGTGTTTAGTTTTTTAATTGTTGCGTTTAAAAACTAAAGTACGTAAAGTACGACAGGGACTATAGACATCAGTGAAAGATCAAACCAACGCCGGAGGAACTGACAGTCAGACTTTTAGTTTACAGGTTTCTCATGTGCCAATCACAGGGGACATTTACCCATCTGGTACCCGGAGTAACTAGTCTGAAGCATTCGAGTTTGCCGTTACCTTTTTTCAGCCATTGTTTTCAACACAATGTTTCGTTTTTGCCTCAGCGGAATGAAGGAACCCATATGCCTACTCTTTAGCTTCTCTTTGGTTATTTAATCTGGAGACCAGGCTGGCCTCGAACTCAAGAGATCCGCCTGCCTCTGCCTCCCGAGTGCTGGGATTAAAGGCGTACGCCACCAACGCCCGGCCGGAAAACACTTTTAAATTCTCCAGTTGGTGGACATTTGGGTTCTGCCCGCTGCTTGCTATTGTAAACACCTTTACACATGTCTTCTGGTAAGACCCAATGGTTCCTGTAGGGAACATAGGATTGGAAACCGAATTGCAGTCTGCCCAGAAGGAGCTGTGCCAGGCTTTTCTGTTGTTTTAAGGAAAGGTGTGAGGGGGCATGCAGTCAGCCGTGGTGAGGAAGCTGTACCCCCTAGTAAGGCTCACTAAGAGATGAGATTTCTCATCGCTCCAAACTTACAACAATTTTATTATCAGTTTTGAAAATGTGCTGTTTCACAGATAGCAAGTTGTATCTGATTGTTTTTAATTGGGCTTCCCTGATGAAGTTGCACAGTTTCCCATGTTTGGGGACTACTTGTGCTTCCTCTGTGTGAAAACCTCTTTCGTTTCTTTTGCCTTTCAGTGCTTTGGTAGGTGGCCATTTCCCCCTTTACTGATTGATAGCAGTTGAAGTGTTTAAATGGAGCAGGGGCACACTCAATGCATTTTATGTTGCCGGTTTTTGTAGGGTTTTAGTTGGCAGTTTTAAAAAGAAGCTGTTGGAGGATGAATGGTTTAGGAGCACTAATTCTTAGTATTTTGAACTGGAAATAGCAAAGTGGATGCCAGTGGAAAAGTAGAAAGCAGGTTTTCTTAACTGGGGCTGATAGCGTGGGCCAAAGACCAGCTTCTCAAACTCAGTGGTTTACAGAGTGATAGATGAGATCGTTTAAGAACAGAGATTGTGATTACTGACTGTGTCTAGGATGGAGTTCCAGGTAGCATTGCCCACCAACTCCCACAGGTGTGCTGATGCTACAAGTTCACAGACGATATCTTTGAGCATAACAACCTGTAGCTATTAGATTTGAATGAATTGCAAAGTCTGGGACAAGAAGTAATGCAGGGCTCTCTGGAGGTGTTTTCGTTATCAGTGTTCTAGGCTGTTTCAGATTTTGTCCCTTTGGGTCCATTAGTACTTTTGGATTGAATATCTTCTCCTATAAAGCAGAAATAATAACAGTGGTTCTTTTATTAATAAAGTGTGTGTAGGAAGCTCTTTGGGAAACTTAAAATTCTATCACAGTGATTGTGAATTGACATTATACACCAGATTTCACTTTAAAAAATTTTACACGCACAGAGGTTCTATACCAGGAAAGTCAGATTGTTAATGTTAAAGTGATAAAGGGGTGTTCGAACCATAATATATGCAGTAAAAGTGTCTTAGTTGCTGTCTAATAATACATCCCAATTAGAGTGGATAACGAGGAAGAGTGCCCCTGTCCTTGAGAAACTTGTTCTGCTGAGGCAACTGCAGTGTATCAGATGGTTTGATATGGCATAGTGATGCGATGATGATGATGATGATGATGATGATGATGATGATGATGATGATGATGATGTCAGGGTTGTGGTCATGAGGTTGAGTAATGTGAAAACCAAGGGGGAGGAAATGAAAGAGTGTATTGGGACGCTTATGAAGGTGTGCATAGAATGTGCACAAAGAACCCGAAAGACCATTAACACATGATGTGGAATTCTTTCTTCTTCAGATGAGGCAGAACTCCTCACTGTCCCTGATGGCTGGAAGGAACCAGCTTTCTCCAAAGAGGACAATCCCAGAGGGCTCTTGGAGGAAAGCAGCTTTGCAACCTTGTTCCCGAAATACAGAGAGGCTTACCTGAAGGAGTGCTGGCCTTTGGTGCAGAAAGCTTTGAACGAACATGTATGTAGGCTTTAACAATTCTTTTGAGATTTTGCTCTTGCTTTTGCCTTCACTTTTAGTGAAGTTTGTGTGTGCTGGTGGATTTTGGCTTCAGAGATGCTAACATAGCTGACCAGCTATGTTTGGTTCCTTTGGTATTTAAAGGAGTCTAGGTAAACTGTATCCTTATAGTTCATTCATTCTTAATTTTGTGTGTAATAAAATACTTTGAGAAATTCCTATGCTTTTCATAATTGAGAGGTATCTCAAACTGTCTGCAATCACTTGTGACATCTAGATTTCTGACCACCTTTTCCAGGCAGTGATGGTTACCATGTACTTGGCCAGTTTGAGCCAACCATGTTTCAAATTTTATTTTAAACAAGACCTGCTGATGCAGATTTCCCTATTTGTTTCCTGTTGACAAGTTTCTAAGGTGGTGTTGTTGAAATGTTCACTAATCACCATAATTCAGGGTTCTTCTGAATGTGTCAGAAAAGAGCATTTCACTTTGCTCTGTTATAGTGTAGTTCTTGGAGCTGTGGAGATAGCTCAGTTGGTAAATTGTTTGCAATCAAGCATTGGTCTAGAGTTCTATCCCCAGAACCCGTGTAAACAGCCAGGTGTGGGGACAAGATCTGAGACTCATTTTGGTGAGCTCCAGGTGGTACCTGAGGAGCAAACACAGGGCCTTGAGCTCTGGCCCCTACATGTCATGTGCATGAATGTGCACACTCCCTCACAAGTACACAGAGGAGCTGTTGAGTGCTCATCTTTGCTGATGATTGATTCTTTGTGAAGCTGTGATGATTTGTTTTGTATTTAGTCCCTTAACCAGGTAGAAAGAAATTTGAAAGGAAAATTCATTTCTCAGTCTTGGTTCCAGCTACTTCAGTTTCTTATCTCCTGTCAAGTATGAATTTAATCAAGTTCTCATTATTTGTGTTTAACTGCCCAGCTTATTCAGAGTAGGAGAGGATTTGTTAGTTAGCTGAAGAGCGGGTGGGAGCGGCTCTGTTCTGATCTAAAATTAAACCCCTTTTGGCCCTTTTTTTGTAGCATGTTAAAGCAACACTGGACTTGATTGAGGGTAGCATGACTGTGTGTACGACGAAGAAGACTTTTGACCCTTACATCATCATTAGGGCCAGAGACCTAATAAAACTCTTGGCGAGGAGCGTTTCATTTGAACAGGTGTGTCTTGGGCCCGGATGTGTGTGTGTGGTGTGTGGTGTGTGGTGTGTGTGTGTGTGTGTGTGGTGTGTGGTGTGTGTACATGTGTACAGCTAACTTGGTGAGCTCCAGACCAGTGAGAGAGACTGTTCAAAAAACAAGCTGGACTGTGCCGGAGGGAACTATGGGAGCTTGCTTGTTCAGCAACCTGTAATACCGTGTCTTTCCATCTCTGCCCCATCCCCCCCCCATTCTCCCTCAAGTTTTCCTGTCTGTGTCTAGGTTTTATGAGCCTGGGCTTGGAAAAGACCAATGTTGATGCATTTTTTTTCCTCCTAAAAGGCAGTACGGATACTTCAGGATGATGTTGCATGTGACATCATTAAAATCGGTTCCCTAGTGAGAAATAAAGAGAGATTTGTTAAAAGAAGACAGCGGCTTATTGGTCCCAAAGGATCTACATTGAAGGTACTTGTCGTTGGTGGCGCGTGAACATCTCTGAATTGACTTTTCCATGCACTGAGTTTGAATTTGCTGTTTTGATGCAGGCATTGGAACTCCTAACAAACTGTTACGTCATGGTTCAGGGGAATACGGTTTCTGCCATTGGGCCTTTCAGTGGCCTGAAGGAGGTGAGCGCGATGACCTGACATTTTCACCAGACAAAAATAAAGTGATTTGGTAGTAATGTAATTGTTTGTTGGATAGTATTTTATAATTATTTTGTATTTTTAGAATTAGGTTTGTTTGATTTCTCATTTGTATATCGTATGCCATATAACTTAGGTGTCATCACTCCTGGAACCTAAGGTATGTTGGGAAACCTTTGACAACTGTGGAGGCATCCACTTCTGAGTTAGACCTGTGCATCTTCATCCATCCCGTTTTAAGACTTAATCTCAGTAGCTCATGTGAGAGTACCTGGTGTCTGTACATGTGAGCAGTATTTGGAATACTGAGTAGAGGCAGTAGATATTTTACTGACTAAACCACTTCCCCAATTCACAGACATTCTCAGAGCAGAGGACTCGTTCTGTAGTAACATACGCAGCCAGTAGAGGTCAGACTCTGAAAACGTTTCCTTTAAGCTGGGTGTCTTATGCTGCAGTGTGGTCATGACTGGTTTCTGTAACTTGTCAAATGTTTTGAGAATACCCACGGAACACATTTTTCTCTCGGGTCCTCTTCATACTGTCCTGAGCTGTGCAGTTTGCCTCCGTCCTGGGACATTTTTAATAGTAATTCTGTTGGCCTAGTTCTCATAAATGGCCTACTCTTTTCTAGTGGAGCAATAATAAACATATCAAATATTTTACAGTTTTAAAAGCTTTTGAAAATTTTATGTAACTCTTAGAGTAGATCTGATGAGATATAGTTTTATCTCTATTTTATAGATTTAAAGATGAAATGAGACTACTAATCGACTCTTAACATGATGTGGCAGTCCTAGGGTTATTATTGTAAATAATAAATTTAGTATTATTTTACAGAGCTTAGTCAAACTAAGGCATTGTGCATGATAGACAAGTACTACTCTTCTACTGAGCTATAGCCCCTGTGCCAGCATTTGAACTCTCCCCTTTGACTCTAAATCTAACCCTATTCCTCTAAACATTACCTCTAGGGTACAGGCTGTTGTGTTAGTTGTTTACTGTATAGTGACATTAATGAAACATTTTTTGATTGAAAAGGTTGACTCTACTCAGAATAATTTAGACATTATATTCACTATAGTGATTAGTTTGTGATCCAGATTTTATAGTAGGTTAGTCCTCTTCTGTCCAGTTGGTTGGAAGTCTTTGTGACTGCTTCATTTTTCTCTGTAAATTTCAGGTACGAAAAGTAGTCCTTGATACCATGAAGAACATCCATCCAATTTATAACATTAAAGTGAGTTTGGGTTTTAGTGCTCGTATTGTAGCCCCTTTTGGGAGAGGCCTGTAGTATGCCTGTGTGTGCAGAGTCACTGATTGGGCTGGAATGCAGCTGTAGGACCTGAGCTGCGAGAGCTTCTGGAGAATGCACTTAAACTTAAGATTAGGGTAAAAGTGATTCTAATTTACTGAGACTTTTCCCTCTGCTACCTCAGTTACTACTAAAGTGTCTTGCCCATGGGAAGCGCCTGCTAATTTAAGACCTGTCTGTTACGAATTTGAACTTTGATGAAATATGGCAGGGAAGCAGAGCTTCATTTTCATACTTACGTTTAATCTAGATTCTTACAGTTTTTGATGTTTGTGCCGGTTTAAAATAGATGTCCTTGCAATTGGTCCCTTCTCCAGAACATACTAGGAACTTGTCCCTTACTTTCTAGAAGCAATGTGTTAACAAATGAATTTTAAAATTTAAATTTTTATTTGTATGTATGTGCCTAAAGACCTTGATGATTAAACGGGAGTTGGCAAAAGATTCCGAGTTGCGATCACAGAGTTGGGAAAGATTTTTGCCACAGTTCAAGCACAAAAATGTGAATAAACGCAAGGAACCAAAAAAGAAGAGCATTAAGAAGGAGTACACACCATTCCCTCCTCCGCAACCAGAAAGTCAGGTTAGTGAGGGGTAAATGCCAGTGCAGATGCAACTGGACTGTTTCTGAGAGTTCAGGGTGGGTGTGGGTGTGCTGTGTCAGGATATAAGAACTTGACATCGAGGGGCGGTGTCAGGCAGCCAGTGTTGTGTAAATGTAGGTAAATGTAACCCAGGGAGTTAACATTTTAGATTATGTACGGTATCATCTAAAAGTCTTAACTCTCATCCATTTGTTTCTGTGTTATGGATTCCTTCCCTTTTTGCCTCTCTTTTCCTTTACACTCATGGCCAGGATTTCCACCCTTTCCTGCCCATCCCTTTTTCATGCACCTTTTTCTTTTAGCTACACCCTCCCAGCAAAACTTTTAAGTTTAGGCCAAAAAATTGAAGTGGAGAAAAGTACTGTCTTTGGATTAAAGTCACTAAAAATTCATGTCTCCACCCTCTGCTAGGCCTAACTGTGTGGCAGTCTTTTGTGTCTCCTTTGAGTTCTCTCCCACATTGGCCAAATACTAATTGGCACCCTACAGAGCTAGGATATTTGAGGCCATCAGAAAATATTCTGATATTTTGCCCCCACCCCCAACCCATCCTTTGTGCTTTGGATTTGATTTATACCTACCTGGGATCTTGTTTCATTATTTCCTTCGTTGCCTGTATGGTAAAATATTCAAAATTTACTAGGTTGTTTCTGATATGGGCATAAACCATCTTCTGGCCACTGCCTTCTGTTCCTTGCAGTCCTTAGTTTGGGTTTCCAGGGAAAGTCTTAAGGCCAGGGGTGGGAGGCATTAGAGACAAGGAAGATCATAGTGAGGAAGTGGGAATGCCAGGCAGGGGCACCTACTCTGGGCAGGGGAGAAAGAGACCAGACAGGAAATTAGAGCTGTGCTAGAGTGCTATTGTATCATGCTGGAGACTTCTATGTTTCTGTGGGGAGTCCTGAAATCAGGAATTGTGATGCCTCTGACTTTTCTCCCTTTTCTCATAATTGCTTTGGCTATTTAAGATCTGTGCTTCCTATGACCTTCAGGATAGCTTCTTCCCGTCTGTGAAGAACACTAGTTGCATTGACATTACAGGTTGCTATGGATAACATGGGCATTCATTAGTACTGATTCCTTGAATCCATTAACTGGAAAGATTATTTCATCTGTCTGCATTTTCAGTTTCTTTGATTCGTGTTTTATAGTTTTCATGGTAGAGGTCTTTTATTAAGTTTTTAAGTGTGTATGCACATGTGACTCTAATGAATAAGATTGCTTCCAGTCTTGCCTGGCCTGCTGGACACGTTTCCTAGAATAGCCATGAATGTGTGGCCCATTTGTAGAAGAAGGTCATGATGTAATATGAAAAGATTGGACACCCTTGCATTTAGATTTGTTATTGGGGTATAGAAAAGCTAATGGCTTTGTATGTTGATTTTTGTATCTTTTCCTGAGTTCATGCATCAGTTTTAATAGTGTTTTGATGGAGTCTTTACATAACTAACTACATCTGTAAACAGGTAATTTGATTTCATGCCCAATTGCTGTGGCTACAACCTCTAGTGCGTGTTGAATCAAAGCGTTTAGAGTGGATATTTTTAGTTCTTGATCTTGCAGAACAGTTTTTGAGTTTTCCAGTGTGTTGCTGAATCTGGGTTTCTCATTACAGCTTTTATGTTGAATTTTATTAACTGCTTTTGCTGTATCTATTGAGGTGACTATAGATTTTGTATGTCATTCTGCTTCAATGTTAGCATGTATTGATTTGTGAAGAGCCATCTTTGCAAATATTAAATGAAAAGAGCATGATCAAAGTATTTTTATGAGCTGTTAGGTTTGACTTGTTGGTCTTGCATTTTCTCCTTTATGTCTGTTTTTCAGGGATATTAGTGTTTGGTTTTGTTGTGTCTTTGGTTTTCTTATCAGGGTAATGCTGCCTGTATAGGATGACTTTGGAAAGAATTCCTTTCATTTATTTGGAATGGCTTGAGAAGAATTGACATTGGTTCTTAAAAGTTTAAAAATTCAGCAATCAAGCCATTTGGTTTTGAGCATTTCTCTAGAGCTTCATCTCTTATTGACAGATTTTTAATATCTTCATTTTACTTTGTTAAGATGTCAAAATTTTTTCCTTCAAAATTTGTAATTAACATGCAGTTGTGTAATAACTGCTAGTGAATTTCTGTGTTTAGTGAGTACTGGTTTTAATATCCCCTTTTCCTAATTGTTTATGAGTCTTATCTCTTCTTGGATAGCATAACTGTTTGATCACTTCCCTATTGTTCCTTAGTCTTGTTTGTTTGTTTGTTTTTTGTTTTTTCGAGACAGGGTTTCTCTGTGTAGCTTTGGAGCCTATTCTGGCACTCACTCTGGAGACCAGGCTGGCCTTGAACTCACAGAGATCTGCCTGCCTCTGCCTCCCGAGTGCTGAGCATGCGCCACCAACGCCCGGCTGTTCCTTGGTCTTTATTGCTGCTGTATTCTTTCTTTTTCTCCTCTGAATTTGGGTTTGATTTGCTTTCTGAAGCCTTAGTAATGGCTCATTGGTTGCTTATTTTAACTCTGTTAAGGTTGCTATGCTTGCTGTAAGTTTCCCTCTCAGTACTGCTTCCTACAAGGTTTCGTATGTTGCTTTCCATTTCTTTTGCAATGGGAGTGTGAGAGCTGAACCAGGGTCTACACAGCCCTAGATGTCCTGGGATTTATTTAGATCAGGCTGACCTCAAACTCAAGAGGTCTGCCTGCTTTGATCTCCTGGGTGCTGGGGTTAAAGGAGTGCTCTACCACACCCATCCTGTATTTCCTTTTATTTCAACAAGTTCTTAAATATTCCTTCTGAAAATCTCCAAGCACTTGAATAATTATATTCTATGATGTTATAGTTTTTTCTCAGGGTTTGTTTTGCACCTTAATATGGTTTATTATAGAAAAACTTATTTGATGAAAATGTCTTGTGCCTGTTGGATATAATGTTCTTTAAATTTCTGAGCTACAGTGTAATTTAACTTTTTGTTTGGATTGTTTGTTCACTGATGGAACTTGGCTATTACAGTGTCTAATGGTGCCCACCTGTAATCCCACTGCTGGAGCACTTGGCCTTTGACTAGGCAGCAGTGTTGGCCAAGCCAACAGACTGTGCCACAGGAAGGGTTAGGAGTTTAGGAACTTTAGGAGCCCTCTGATGCTGAGCCGTCCCCACCCCCCCAGGACTGCCCAGGAGGGAGGGAGGGAGGGATGGTGCTGAAGCAGAACAGTGATGGTGCTCCTCTCCTTTGATGGCAGTGTTTACCTAAGAGCTGGAGTCAGTGACTTTTTCACCATGGGCAGACGACTCAGGATGTGATGGTCCAGCCATAGCTGCTCTAGGGCCCGTGTGTGTATCAGTATTGGAAAAACAGTAGCAAATACAATAGTTTCTTCCTTTTGTCCTCTCAGTGACAGGTCAGCAAGAGTGGGTTAGAACCACTTAGGTGCCTGCCTCCAGTCCTAGCACTGGTTTAAAGTCACAATTTTGACCATGCCCTTGGTTTGACAGGGTATAGCTGCCTATGACAGCACTCATTCCCCACAGTACAGGACACTCTTTTTGAGACAGGGTCTAACCCTATGGCTCTGGCTAACCTTAAACTCCTTCCTTCTTACCTTAGCCTCTCTGGGTGCTAGGACCAAAGGCATGCACACCCACACCCGGCTCATCCTGCCACTGCTCTTGTGTGCCATAGCTTCCATTTTTTCTAAGTCATGTTCTACCTTCTTAGAGTCTCAAATCCTACCCACTCTCCGCCTTCCAAACTCATCTGATTCCTTTCACTCTTTTCTGATGCCCTGACTTTTGGTGCTGCCTGAATTAACGAGTTTTGTGGTTCGAGAACAGCCCCTTTTGTCCTATTTCCATGTTTGTATCAGCCTCAGCTTATACGTCCCTCTTTTGTGTGGCCTGCTAATTAGAGTATTGAGTCTACATTTTTTACCCCAGCACACAATGACTTATTAGGAAATTCCCTTCATCTGTATTATTTCTGATCTAACAGTGAATACTGTTTCTAATAGATTGATAAGGAGTTGGCTAGTGGTGAATACTTTCTGAAGGCCAATCAGAAGAAGCGGCAGAAGATGGAAGCCATCAAGGTAAGGCTCTTAAGATTACTCACAACATTCATAGCAAGTTTGGTACCACTCTTGCTCACTAAGGTGTTTCTCACTGGCCTAGGCCAAGCAAGCAGAAGCTCTTACGAAGAGGCAGGAAGAAAGAAACAAGGCATTCATTCCACCTAAAGAAAAGCCAGCTGTGAAGCCAAAGCCAGGCAAGTAACCCTGAGTGCATGTCTGTCTCACACCAAGAACACCCGTGGTTTCATCACCTAGGCAAAAGTGACTAGTACTCAAAATGGCTATAATCTAGGGTGGCTTCAGGGTCCTGCCCCACAGGGCTTTGCTGGGCTTAGATTCTTTATAGGAAAGATGTAAAACCCAGAGCTGAGACACCTGACCATTGCTGCCGGCTGTGGCTTAGAAGCTTGGTCCTGTGTTAGCTCATACTTCATCACCTTAACAGGAAAGTTCCTACGAGGTCTGGCCTCGTTCTGACCCATCCTCTCCCATTTTCTTTGCCTCTGGGTGACACTTGTCAGAGCAACCCTCCAAAGGCAACCTTGGTACATGGGAGGTGGGGCTTAAAGTAAATTTAGTCGTTAAGTACTTGGGTAGCTAGCTACACTAATGTAGTTGTCAGAGTGGAGGTTGAAAATGTCTGTACCTCCAGTGTCCCGACTATTCGAATGGTACATTTTATCTTTGGATCCTTTCATGGTTTGAAAACTGTACTTTTATAAGAAAAAATTTCATCCTTTTAAAATTGTTTTCTGTATTTAGTTCAGTTTTTTGACAGTTTAGCCTGTTAAGAGCACCACATGCTCTCACATAAAATCATGACAAAATAAGCCTTGTTAGAAGGACCATACCTAATACTTTCCATGGAATGTAATTTTAAATTGTGTGCAGTGTAGAAAATTGATTTCCAAAGGAATAGACTAATTGAATGTGCTATCGTGCCATTTCTATTGAAAACTTTGGAAGTCCAGCTTCTAAAATTTTTGCTCAGGGTTCAAAAAAAGGAACTAAAGTCTGAGGGAAAAACAGAATTGACTGACACACAATTGCTCCTCTGCATGTTTATTTTCTCTGCTCTTCTGTTTCTGTCTCTCTCTCCGTTTTTGTCTCTTCAAATCTTCTTTCCCCAGTTCTTGGGGGTACAGATACATGTGAGGCTTGAGTTTCTCAGGGTCAGCAAGTCAGATAAGATTTACTCACACAACAATAAACTAAACTGCCAGGAGAAACTTTCAGCATCAGTTACTTAGGGCTGTAGGTCAAAGAGAGGGTGTAAGTTTAATTTGCATAGGAAACAAAACCTGACTCCTTCCAGTGCTCTGGCCTCAGTGATGGCACAGGCCTTCAGGAAAGTTTACTTTTCCCTGAGGATGAGCAAATGGGCTGATTACCTTTGTCTTTTTCTCAGGGGAAACAGGAGGAAGCAGTAAATCTGAGCTAAAATCTTGAGTTAATACCACAAAAAGTTTGTGAATCTTTTAGTGCAGGGTTAGTTTAGGTTATCTGCCACTGAGGTAAAGCCAAGGACATGATTATTTTTTTCTATCCATTTAGGCAGCTATGTATTAACAACTTTGGACGTGTAGTAATTTTATGTCCTTGGATATTTGGGAATGTCTTTTGCTTGGGCCGTAAACACTGACCAAATGACTGTCAATAAAGGCAACTGCAGGAAGGCAGATCTCTGCAATTACAATGGAGAGGGGAAACAAGGTCCTGATAGTGAAAAAATAGGTCTCAACACATAGCTAAGGAATATAATCAGTAAACTAGGACCTATTAACAGAGAACAGGTATTTACAGGTAGCTGGGGAATGTAATCAGTAAAACTCCAAATGCATGGGAGAAATTTGTTCCCAGTAAATGATCAGATGGTACTGAACTGTGGGGAGTAAATCCCAAGTTTGTTACAGAAAGGAAGAATCTACACAGCAAGAAACAGCCAGCTCACTCATGAGATTATAATGCCCGGTACAGTTTTAAATTCTAAATTATCTTGTGATAAAAAGGCTGTATAATTACTGTTTGAACTTGCAGCACATTTCATCTGTTTAAATTGTTAAGCATATAATTTGAAATTTGCATTTTTTTACAAAATTTTGCAGCTTCTACTGAAACAAAGATTGATGTGGTGGCTATCAAGGAAAAGGTTAAGAAAGCAAAGACCAAGAAACTGGGCGCTCTTACAGCAGAGGAGGTTAAACTTAAGATGGAAGCCGACGAAAAGAAACAGAAGAGAAAAAAGTAACATTGGAAAAAAATCTGGAACTGAACTTTCAAGGTGTTTCCTTTTGTAAAGGATTTTGAGATGGCTTTATAGCTGTCTCACCTAGAAGTAGTCATGCTCAGAAGCTCATGGCCATATCCTTTGTAAATATTTTCGAGTGAGAGGGTGGTAGATACCTGTGTGTACATTCAGTCCCAGGCAGGTTTTGTCTATACTTTTTTTTTTTTTTTAGGAATACCTCTTTTAAATTATATAGAATTTTGGAACGAGACCAATGTTGTCATTGGTTCATCTTTTTAAACACACCCAAAGCGTTTGGTTTTGAGGGAAATAAATGCAAATTTTCCAGTAGTAACGGCAACTATTTTTGTAATTTTTTTCCAGGATAAAACAACCCACAAACAGAAAAACCAAGACTGTAAATCAAATCTCTCAGTCCCTATTATTCTAAGGAAACGGTACCATGTGGGTATTGGGAAATCCAACACAGATCCTCCGCAAGAGCAGTAGGTGCTCAAAACCTCTGAGCTGAGGGCAACTGGACTATGGAGAGTTATCAGAGATGTATTTTGTAGATCTGAACCCTAGGGGGTCTTTTTCTTGCTTGAAAGCCTAGCTGCGGCAACCTAGGCAGTCCTTATTCATGAAGTACAGTAGCCAGTTATGATGCCCCCCCCCCAACAATGGCATTAGTCCAAAAGAACTAAATTAGGGTATTTGTGCTTTACCAAAATGGTAACTATAACAGACAGTATCAGACATACTGCCTTAACAATGAGAAAGAGAGATGTGTATCTGTTACGTAGATAGATGGGTCTTCCTGGATAGTTACCAGAACCTGTGAAACAAACAGAGTGTGCTCTTAGTTTTTCATGATGTGCTAACCCAGTCTCCAACCCAGTCCATACAGTTTAGGTTTGCATACATACGTGAGACGTGGTCTCTTTGTGGGTTAACTGTAAAACCAACAGTAAAAAAAGATTAGGTTTTTAAATTATATCTTTATAACCATGAACTTGATTTGGTTTTATTAAATACAGTGATTATAGAGGTTTAAAAGAAAATGGCCACCAAAGGAGTGGTGTAATTAGCAAGGGGAGTGGGCTTTGAGGTCTGTGCTGAAGCTATTCTCAGTGTCAGAGACCATTTCCTATGACCTGATCAAGATGTAGCCAGCACCATGAACCTCTGAAACTGTAAGTTAGCAGCCCCAAGAAACGCTTTTCTTGTAGAATTGCCATAGTCATGGTGTCTTTTCACAACAATAGAAACCCCAAGACAGCAATTTTCAAAGGTCAATCAAGGTTTTTGCTATTAACTGTCAACTTAGTTTTCCAGTCTTTTTATATAAACTTAATATGTGAATTTTTATACTCTACCAGTTCATGGAAAAGTTGTTTGATTTGCCATAGCCACCAGAGGAATCTTCTGTTGAGCTATGGTTGAAACTGAAGGTGAAAATATAATAGTTTGTTTTAAATAACACAAAGTATTTCCTAAGCTCCTCCCCACTAAGGAGAAAGGTAGATACGATGAAATAAGGAGGCAGCAGTCTCCTGTCCAGCATGGTGGGCCATCTGACTTTTCAAAACTCAGAATTATGTATGTCTCTGTCTCTAAGTTTCAGATTTTGATACTCAGCACTGGGGAAGATAGGTGCCCCAATTGCACATACATGGACAGATATTGAATGCCTGTGATGGAGCCATTGTGGCCTCGTGATCAGCAAACCCAAGGTGCCTTGACAGTTATACCCATGAATTTGCATCATGTTTTTTCTAGTTTTTCCCCTGTGTGCATCTGCAGAGTTGTCAATCTACATTCAACTACAGAAACCAATGGACATCCACGCACTAGCTAAAGCTACCTTATGTGACATGGGTATGTCCAGGCAGCTGCACAGTAGTTTATCATTCACTGTGCACACAGCAGCATTAGGCAAAACAGTAGGCAATGGTGGACTCTTATTTCGTTAGCTAATACTATGTCAGTTAGGTTCTGTTAAATAACAGCTTTGATCTTACAATCCTGAACCTTACAATAAAAGGTGGGATGGTCTTTTTTTCACATGGAAACACTATTACTCTGAAGTGAAATGCTTTCTAACAGGCCAACATTTATATTTTAAAAAGTGCATAAACTGAGCTTTGTACATTGAAAAAAATTAATGACAACTTAGAGGTTGAGTCACCTAGTAAATTGTCTTGTATGTACCATGTAAGTGTGTGTGTCTTTCTCACTTGAGTCCAGGGGTTTTCATTGTTGGGACTACAGCAGCCTTAATCTGTTTTACCAAGCGTAGACACCTTCTCAAGTTAGAGCTCTAAAGGTTCTAACACCAATAGCATTTTTGTATCATGGCAGACAGTTCATTGAACCCTTTCACTTGCTCTATGAGGTGCTAGTGTTGTATGTTTTACTGTTGTGGAATGGGTACAGAGCCATGGCCAGGATCTCAGAACTGTACATTAATTAGCCTGGCACTTCAGCACCTTGGTTCTGAGAAGAAATAACTGCACATGGTGCATATTACTGGGTTTCCTGATGAGGCTGCTATGTAGGAGTAAGGAAAAAAAAATACTGCATTGGGAGAAAAATGGGCTGCATCAATTTCATACCTGAAAAGTTCAATGTTTAAATGGGGCCGGGCAGTTTACTGGAATTTAGGCCTGGAAGGGGCCTTGGGAATTGTATAAACACACTTCCTAACAGGTTTCATACAGCAAAGCTTGGACAACTATCCACCTCCCTTCTAAACACCCATGCAGCTGTGATGCACAAAAGAACTGTGGGATTGCCATTAACTGCAGTAGCTTCAGGTTCCCTTCACACCACAGGAAAACAGACATCGTAAAGGACGCTTATGTTTGGTCCTAGAACAGTAAGCTCTTCGTTTGTTACAGCTCTCTAGAAAATAGCTACCAGGATAAAACAAATGTTTCTACCTTAATTCTATGGAACGTTTTTGTTATTATACTTACCGCAGAGATTGTTGAGACACCTGTCATCTTTTGGGCAGTCACTGCAAGTGGGTCCTTGCTTGTACGGCCATGTTGGGTAGTTCCCTCTGTAGAACAGAAGACTTGTTAGAGGCCCCAGCACAATTGTGCTTTGCTCTGAGTGCTTGACCAAGTCCAGAATAAACAAGATAGATGAAGAATCAGCAGGCTAATAAAATACATAGGGATGGAAGTGGAAGGTTTGAATATTTGTAGGGTTCATGTTATATCCTTGTGTCTATGAACTTTGTGTAATTTCTACCCTCCCATTTAACAATGATAACTCTGCATTATTTCTGTTTCTGTTTAGCAGGCAAGGAAACTGAAGATCTGGGAGATAACTAGCCAAAGGTCTCAGTTTGTATATATGAGTCAGGAAGAAATCTAGAAATGTCTTATGTTGGGCTTTTTCTGCTTAACTCCTAGCGTATATGATTGCTTCCATTCAAACACTGCCTATCCTAGAAAAGCAATTACACTCTGTATTTTCAGTGTACCAGGTCATCATAGTTTTTACAAGATACACTATTGAGCTGGGGTAATGACCTCCAAAAGAAAAAGATGCAGAAAATTAGAAACAATTCATTTGCATATAAATAATGTGATATGAATAGTAACTGATAATTACTGTGTAATAAAAGATCTAAGGGATGGGGAAAGCTCAGTAAAGTGCCTGCTGTTCAAAGACCCCACGTTCATTCCCCAACTCCTACTAAAAACAGTGCTTGAAGTTCTATCTTTGGGGAGTCAGGCCAGGGGGGTCTCTGGAACTCCCTGACTGGCCTCATTAGTGACCCCCAGGTCCCAGTGATAACATCTCAAAACCAGGTGTGCATGTTGTGTGTAGGGTATAGGGATAAGGGATGGAGAGATGGTTCAGTGATTATGTGCCCCTGCTCTTTCAGAGGACTTGGGTTCAGTTCTTAGCGCCCACACAGTGGCTGACACAACAATCCGTGACTCCTGACCTTGGGTTCTAAGGGACCCGACACCCTCTTCTGACCTCTGAAAGCACCAGGTACATACATGGTATGCATATAAACATGCAAGTAAAACACTCAAACACATGAACAAATCTAAAAAAAAATGCATTGTCAACACATACGTGTGACCTCACCCCACAAAATAAGATCTATCACGGGGTCAAATAATTATAGTCAATTTGAAAGTTAGGCTGAGTATTAACTACTTAGAGAGTATGTTGTAACAACATCCACTGTTCTCAAAGATAAAGGTACTGATAATACAAAAATCAGTTATGGCTAAAAGAACAATGGTCTTTTCCTAATGAAAGGAAATGTTATTTTCAGTGGAGGTTCATGTGAAACAAAGATGTAACTTTTCTAATTGAAGTTCACAGATGTCTCTTTCCCCAGGAGACACTCCCCCCCCCTTTAATAAATCCTTATTTAGAACCACAGCTATATTTCATTCCCAACCCTCTATGCATATACATATATATATGTATCTTCTAATCTCATTTGGTTTCAAGTTAGGTTGCTTCAGAAATTCACTTTTTGGGGGTCAGAGCTAGGGAATATGGCACATTGATAGAGCATTTGCCTAGCATGGATGAAACCTTAAATTCAATCTCTAATACTGCAAAAATAATGATAATTATTCTCATACTATATCATAGAAAATAGAGATAGAAATTTCTGATGTCCCAAATAGACAGTCACGAGAATGTCTTTCTCTAGTAAAGAGCACAGCACTCAGTAAGTGGTTTCAGTTGTAGAATAGTTTTGATGAAATCACTATTGTTACCTTTTAAATTATGCATCCCAAACTAAGAGAAAGGGGGAAAATTTGTCTTGGAGGCAACATAAGACTAGAACTGGGTTTATTTGGGTGGGTGTGATTAAAACAAAAACTAACATATCCCGACTTGTGACGAAGCAGTGCATTTTTGTAACTGCCCTAGAAGTCTTAAGATAAGAGGTTCAGGACTCGGAAAGAGGGAATGCGTGTATGAATAAAGGCCCCCCTCCCAAGTGAGTAGCCTACGGTAGTGATACCCAAAGAACATCTGACTATATTTATGGTCAAAACTTACTCCCTCGTCTGTTCTGCAAGCCCCTCCTTCCTCCTTGTAATTTTCTACACTCCATCTTCTCACAATCTACTGGCCGTTCACAAGAAGCCCAGTCTAGTTAGGGACCCCAGAGCTAAGTCTCCACCTTACTAGTCAACCCACTCACTGCAATAGCCACGGACTAGGCAGAGCCTGACCTAGAACTCCATTTAGGGCTCTCTTTCTGCCTATTACCTCACCACTGCTGGACTTAGAGCCCCAGTGAAGGACCTCCGGAGCTAGTCCCCTTCCTCATCCCATCCATCAGCCACCCCACTCACCTCTTGGTTGGAACTCCGAGAGATCTCAAGAGCCAGCCCCCTCCCAACCCATCCACCTATCTGCTACCCCCATTGACCATGGTAGTTTAGTCTGACCACAGGTTTCTGAGTAGGTGTGACTCACAACTGAATTGCTTTTCTCATTTCCAGAGGAGACAAACTGTTTCTATCTGAAAAACTCAGCTGTCAAAAGTAATTAAGTAGTAGGAACTGAGCAATTCCACCTGAGGTTTGTTTTATTTTGAAGTGTGGAAAGTATGCTATGATTTTAATAAAACAATAAGTTAATCAGTCCTTCTTTCTTGTATTAACAATATATCACTTTATGTCCCGGGTAAGCATTTTAATTTTGCTACTCTTAAAGGTGAATGCCTTTGTAGTGTTAATAAAGTATGTGTGCACATACACACACACACAGGAAAAATGTATTAGAATATTAATGGAGTGAGTCTCTGGGTAGAGAATTTAGAGGCCTTCAAAACTTTTCTTTATACATTTTCTATATTAAAGATGAATACTGTAATAATGTATTTTTAGAATTTACCCTGGTCAGACACTTACCCTGGTCCATAGTTGCATATAAAATGTGCTCCATTAGAAAGGCTTGCGAAGTTAGAAACTTTAGGACAAAATTGCACTGCACAGCCAACTTTGTAACTATCCGCCCAAACAACCTGAAAGTACAAGAGAATTTTTTATTGCAGAAATGAACATTTGAGTATCACCAAGCCTTCATAATTATGGTGATTATAGCTACTCTAGTTAGCTGTACAACATTCTTTACCAGGGAAATTTTAGGTGCTCAAAATTCCACTGGAAACAAGTCCCAAATTAAAATCTCAGTGTATGGGTGCATGTGTAAAATAAACATGAACATGGCAAGGTAATAGTGGAAAGCTGTATAGGGTCCCTGCAGGTATCAAAGCCAGAGAGTGAAAACTCACTACAGCCAGACTTGGTCAATCAGAATGGATCAAAATGTCTAGAGAGTCTGATCCGTGTTTTAATTTTCTTACATATTTAAATACATACAAACTGGGGGTATGTCTACAGGACAGTTAAAGCTTCAGGGATGACTACATTGAAATTCCCTTGCAAAGTAGCAAAGCACCTGTGCCCATTGCAGTAAGAGTGACTTCTGTTGGCTGATAAACAGCTCAGGACGATGGCCTAGAGGAAGGACTTGTAATAAGAAGAAGGATGGATTCTATTGATGGAGGATGCATAGTACATGGGGCCTCTTTTATAAGGATGAGTTAGTTATATTCACTGAGCAAAGCCCAGGGTTGAAGCCTAAACAATCCTCAGGATTTGGGAGAAATTCAGGTGGAGCCTGGCTCCTAATAGAATAGCAAAGGATCACCTGGTTGTTTGCCCACTTTCACTCATGCATTCCAGGTGACCAGGTGTCATTCTTCCTTCCATTGAAGAAAACAAGCCTGTGTGCTCAAAAATCCTGGTTTCTCCAATGCTTACTCTAAGCTAGAAGTTGTCAATTTGTGGATCGCAACCTCTTTGGGGTGACATCAGATGTCATGAATATCAGATATTTATATTGCGATTCATAACAAAATTACAGTTATGAAGTAACAATAAAATAATTGTATGGTTGGGGGTCTCCACCACATGAGGAACTGTTTTAGAGGGTCACAGCATTAGGAAGATTGAGAACCATTGCAGTAAGCCATGCTTCCTGCAGAAAGCTACTACAATGAAATAAAACAGGGTAACCTGATGGGGTTGATTCAAAGGAGTATTGAGGGAAGACCTATGAAGTGACCTTTGAATGGACATGCAAAAGATAAGGATGTAGACTGAGAATAAACATCAGGAGACATGGGTAATGGACAACATCCATTCTCAGAGGTAAATGTTTCTGGGATGCTAGTCACTTGACATGTTAGAGTGGCAGAGAAAAGGCAGAGTGGAGGCACAAGGGAGAGGAGCAGATTAAAGGAATTCTGTCAGGTAAGGAAAATACTTTCTGACTGTCTAACAAGGTCTACTTAGTACTTAGGAAATGAACTGAGAAGAACAAGGGGAGGTGGCAATTCTGGAGGCTGTCTCAGTGATGGCTCACTCTTGGGTGATGCAATTCCGGGAAACCTATGGAGTTCATTGACTAATCCATGTAGCTGAAAACATTTGATTTTGTTTTGTGTCGGGGAAGCATTTGAGTTTGGGACCCAAGTGATATTTATTAAGACAGAAACCGAGGGAACAAGCAAGGTGGGAGGGAACTTGGGCAGGGGATTCTGTTTAGAACATGTTTGTTTTCAGCTCCCTACTAGATGTCTCAGTAAAGATTGGCATAGATAATGGGCTTAACCATCTGCAGCTCAGTGGGTGGGTAACAGATTTCTGAGATAGAAATCTGAAGGATACAGGCTAAATCAGATCACAAAGGCAAAGATAATAGAAAAAATTGGCATAACTGCAAACCTGGGTTAAGGAAATACATGCAGTAACAGTCAGCAAAGCAGACATGAAATGTGGTCCTAATGTTGAGGAAATGGAGACCAGAGCTGGCTCCCAAGAAGGCAGCTGGGCTGTCAAGCTGAGTCCACTGCTCAAGGGAGCTCCAGACTTAGTTTAAATCAATATGTTGCTGCATATTTAGCACCTTCAGTGCTACTTTCTCCTTGCTTTTTCTTTCTCCTCCCCGCCCCCCCAAGACAGGGTTCCTCTGTGTAGCTTTGGAGCCTGTTCTGGCACTCACTCTGTAGACCAGACTGGCCTCAAACTCACAGAAATCAGCCTGCCTCTGCCTCCCGAGTGCTGGGATTAAAGATGTGCACCATCGCCTGGCTTCGGCTTCCCTTTTCAGTGAAGCAGTCCACCTCTTTCCCACCGATTCCCATAAATTATGTGGCTCATCTTGGCTAAGAATGATTAGTATCAAAGATTACTGAAGACATTTGAGAACCTAACTAGCCCTTGAAGACAAATCAACCATTTAACAGTTTTTACAGTGATACAAAATTATACTTTAAAACTATTTTTTTTTAAAAGACATAATTATCAAGCCATTCTGTGCCAAGAATTGGGCTAAACATGTGGGCACAATGGTGAGTGGGCTGGGGCCTGCAGCAACCTTCACTAAATGCAGACAGAGGCAATCATGGAACTGTTACATAGAGCTCTGGTCACTATCAATGGTTTTAATACATGGAATGGGACCATTCTGTCAGGAAGTGGAGTTAAGCTGGGGGCCACAGACATCTGTCTTTAAAACTGGAGCAGAGTCCTGTGTGAGCCCAGGGTGGAGAAGACGCTTTCACAGAACTACAACAGTGGCCAGTCTGGCTCCAGTAAAAAAGCATACTACCCTAGAAAATCAAATTATCACTCCCTGAGGGGAGAGTGGAGGGAGGGAAAGAGAGCCAGGCAAGGATGGAATCTGAGATCACCTAAGGGCTTCATGGGATGCAGTCAGATAGGTGGGTAGGAGGACCTGCCCTTTGTAGACCGACTTCCCCTTGCTTGGGGAGCTAGGAAGAGTCTAAAATGGCTGTTCCTATAATCTCAGAGACAAGGAGTGGTTTGGTTGTCCCTCCTTTGGCCAGAGACAGTCCCTTTTCCATGACTGAGGAACAGCTAAGTATCTGAAGCCAAGAGTCCCACTTAGGGAGCTCCAGTCTAGACAGGCATTGAGGTGCCTTGGGCTTCTCTGTTGAGACATTAAACATAGTTTGTCCAATGTTACCCTTGTACTGTTACTTTCCAATCACTTTTATTTTGAAATTTTCAATTTTATTCATGTTAGTTGTGACTGGTTTTATCTGGGATGCTCTAAGTGCAGAATTCTGTGCCCATGTCAGATTTACAAAGTGACAAAACACTGGTTTCTTACACCTCCCTCCAGGTGCTCCTTCCACATGTCAGGAGTCCAGTGTCATCATTCCTACCTATCACCTTAGCTCACTTAGCATTTGGTTTAATCTCTTAGTTTTTCAGCACTTTCTTCCATAGTGTTTTCAAATTTCCTTCATCTTTGGATCTCCTGTACTTTTTCAGAAATATGCAAATATTGCTTAGCTGTGTGTTAGCCGTTAGTCACTGAGGCCAAACATCAGAGGGAAGGCATGTTCTAGGCCATGGTCGAAGTATGTTTTAGGTCATGATATCTCAGTGTGTTCTAGATCATGACCTCAGGATGTTTTAGGTTATGATCTCAGGATGTGGTCAGTTGTCATCATGCCTTTAGGTCTGTGATAAGGGTCATGGACACTAGTCACACCTTGTGATGTCCAGGAAACTAAAAGAGAAGAGGGTAGAGTCCCAATATTGATTTCAAGTGAACACCCCCTTGACTTATCTTCCTTTGCCTGGACCACACCTAAGTAAAGCTTTCACTGCTTCCCAGCAGTGCTTCAGGCCTTTAGGAGACATTGATGATTTCAACTCCAACAGTTTCCAAAGTTGGGTTTACCTGGATATGGTGCCTCACACCTGTAATCTCAGTACTTGGGAAGCTCAAACAGGAAGCTCACTGTGAGTTCAAGGCCTACCTGGGTTACACAGTGAATCTCAGGCCAGCCTGGGCCATATAGTTGGTCCTGTTTCTTTACAAGTAATAAAAGAAGCAAGCCAGGATCACACAGTGTCAGGGCAAGGACTCAGATCCAATTAATCTGGAACTTTCCCACCAGTGAATCTTTTAAACAGAAATGAAAACTTGCTAGTTTGCCTCCAGTGAGCATAAAGGTAAAGTGTTGAATTGGCAATGTCAAGAAATACTACACTGTTCACAGAGAGAGAACCTGAACTTGCGCCCTGTACTCTGTACCAGCTATCATTGGGCAACATATGTAAACAACTTGATCTTCATAAAGAGGAGGGTAAATAAAGGTTACAATCCCCACTTTAGGCAACTTTCCAGCAGGGAATTGAAATGACTGAATTGTCCTGAAACCCGCACCAAGATCTCCTTAAAGGATGAAACAGGAATTGCAGCCAAGATACGTCAGAGTCCCGCTCTAACACAATTATTAGATCCTGCACTCTAGTCTTTGCTAAGTGCTTCCCAGCCAACAGGTGTTGGTCCAGATTTCTCCACAGCACACTCTGAGATATTAGCTTATGGGTTCATACTTTGTTGGGTTACAATCTCTGGGTTGTGACTAAGGAGAAACAGGAGCAAGGCAGGGAAGGCAGTATATGGTTGGAAATAGTTTCTGGCTCTCAGGCTAGCTCCCTCTGATTTTTGGAGACACAGGTGTGCAGAGCTAGTATAATTTGGGGCAACTGATACAGGCCAAATGAGCAAAGAGGACCCAGAAACTATACAGCCAAGGGCTTGCACAATGTTCCACGCTGCAAGAGACATATGACTGGGTTCTTGAAAGTGGAATTTGTCAAGTAAAAAGAGTTTTAACTTCTATACCTTCTATACCAGGTTAATTTATAGAAGGTGTACAACATATATGAACAGGCCTGTTACTTTAGTTGAATTTTAAGGAGCTGAGCATGCAAAATATGTGGCACTCAGAAGATGGTTCATTTTATGACAGATCTATTAGCCATACTAGTATGCCCCCATCCCAGGAGTCAGAACAAGAGTAAACCCAAGTTCATGTCATACAGACCTGAGACAGTAGAAACTTCCCTAAACATGTAAATTCTCCCTTTACATCTGGGGGGGGGGTAAAGAGGGCCAATACTTGGGACAGGAGCAAATTAATTTCCAATCCTATTTATCTCTCATATAGACATGAGACCGGATTCATGATCATAACCTCTTCAGTAGACTACCACATTATGTCCTCCCTGCAGGAGGACCTCGTCATGGGAGAGAGTTTAGAAATTCCTGTGTCTGGGGAGATGTAACTCTCCATAACTGTTTTGTAAGTGAGCACGGTGTTTACCTTTCTAAGCTGAAAGGCCTGTCCAGTTCTTACCACAAACATAGAAGGGAGGCTCTATCATCTCTACCTCAACCATACATCAACAATTGAGTTGGAGGGTTTATGAGGTTTCCCTAAAGCCATTTAGCCAGTGAGAAGAGAGTTCATATTCATTTATCAGATATATTGCAAGGCGTTAAGTAATATAATGTATGCAGGTTATTTCATGTGAGTATCTACTACTGCCTCGACTGATGGCTCTTGCATGTGACTTTATCCACATAACTAATGTCTCCAAGTACATTCTCCTCTCATATTTATAATCATACTAGCTCACTATAAATTTTCTCAACACCAAGTTCAGTTCTCCGCCTTTTATAAAGGTGATTTCAAGAGACTATAGGGACGTACCTACCTGAGTGTAATGGCCACAGACATCTGTGCATCTTCTAGTGCTGAAGTTATAGTGCTTGACTTCATTGTACCAGGCTGAGATGGCCGAGGATGCTGAGAAGAGGGATAAAGATCCAGTCCAGATATTTTCTCCCACTACAGTGAAGTTTGGGTGCAGGCGTGATTTCAGCTGTGGGTTGTGTGCAAACTGGCAAGATTTTGCCCATGTTTTTGCAATGCGGGCTAGTTCTGGGTCCCAAGACTGAAAAATAATTAAACAATATAGGAGTCAAAAAGGAAATTGAGGAGGAGCGACAGCCTATAATGCTTACTTGGGCGAAATATGAAGTCATCAGGTCAGATAATATGATGAAGAGAGGAGAAGCAGAAACATCCGTGTCTGCAGGTGATACAGACTTAATAACCAGAAGCCCTAAGAGGTGAACAAGTCCAGTGAAGCAGCAGGGTAAATAAAGGTCGGCATGCAACACACGGTAGGTTCTGTATAAAATAGTAATGAACATACTAAAAAGAAAAAAGAAAAACCTCCAGGATAGTTCCATTCTGGTAGTCGTCCAACAGTAAATTATGTAGGGGGGTGAAGCACATATACAATGAAAACCAGATACTGAAGACACACTGGAACAGTGGTTCTCAACCTGTTGCTCTTGACTCCTTTGGGGGTGAATGACCCTTTCACAGGGGTTGCATTATCAGGTATCCTGTATATCAGATATTTACATTGCAATTAATGACAGTAGCAAAATTACAATTATGACATAGCAACAAAAATAATTTCATGGTTGGGGGTCACCTCAACACAAGGAACTGTATTAAAGGGGCACAGCCTTAGGAAGGTTGAGAACCACTGCACTAGAGAATGGGGAAGCTGTTCATGCTATGGATTTGGAGATTTTCAAATAGGAGTACCGCTGAAAGATGCTTACAGATTCACTTCCCTGCTAATGCTTTCTTCTTAAAGCTAGAAAAAGAAATCAGAAAATTAGCACGGAAACACAAAAGACTCCATATGCCGAAAGACTTCTGAGCAAAAAATAACAGTGCCAGAGGAATTGTCAGTCTGGACTTCAAAAGACAAAAATGTGGTCTGAAGAGACTAGGACACTAGACAAATATGCTGGGGAAACTGGATATGCTCACACGGAAGCATGAAAATAGGGTTCTTAAGGTTACAAAAGAACAGGTCAGAATGTATCACACCAAACCTTAATAGGAGACCTGCCACAGCCAGTGCCTCAATTTTGCTTCCTCTTTCTCTTTGTGGCTTTTATTTCTTTCTCTTTTGACTGTTTTTCTTTGGCTAAGATTTCAATACATGAGGCATAGGCAATAATTTTCTGAATAGGGCTTCAGTAGATCAGGAATTAAGAGTAAGTGACAACAGTGATGACAAAAGACTGCATCAAAAACCATGGGCACAGCCAGGAGGTGGTGGCACTTGCCATTAATCCCAGCACTTGGGAAGCAGAGGCAGGTGAATCTTTTTGAGTTTGTAGCTCTGTAGACCAGCCCGGTCTACAAAGTGAGCTCCAGGACTACATAGAGAAACCCTATCGCAAAAAAAAAAAAAAAAAAAAAAAAACAAAAACAAAAAACAAACAAAAAGCCACAGGCACAGTGGCAGCATTACCAGAGTGAAGTGATAGAGTAAAGAATGGGAGAGAATTAGGGTGTGATGGCATGTGCCTTTAATCACAACACTCAAGGTAGGATGCAGGCAGATCTCTGAGTTTGAGGCCAGCATATCTAATTCCAAGCTAGCCAGGACTAGTGAGACTATCTCTCAAGAAGATAGAAGGAATATAATTTTCCAGATACTCACAGATTAATACACAAACTGTATAAAGAACTAAAAATGTAAAATACTAATAGAATGAAAAACCCAACAACCAATGAAAGGACAACTGAACTGAACAGAGTCCCCAAAAGCATAGATTAACATCCTTAGCCATTAGGGGATGCAGACAGAAAGTACATTAAGAGCACATCTTAACTTATTCAGTACAATATCTAAGAAAATAAATGGCATCAAAGACATGAGTGGAGAAAAGCCTTAATACACTGCTCTTAAGAATGTAAATTAGTTCAGCCACTATGGAAATCGGTATATACGTTTTCCAAAACATATAAATGTAAGACTATGGTGTGATTCAGCTATAATAGGAATGGAAGTTAGTGCACTTTAGACATAGCTGCATCTCCATGTTTATTGTGGCACTATTCACAATATACAAGTTATGGATTACATTTAATTGTTCACAAATAGAAGGGATAAGGAAATATGTGTATTGTACATATACATTTATACACACATACAGTGGGGGATTGTTGAATCACAAAAACAAAATTATGACATTTGCAGGAAAATGGATGGATTAGAGGTTCATCATGTTACGTAAAACAAAGACTTGGGAGGGTAAGTATTGTATCCCTCTTATACTTGAGGTCTAGAGAAAAATGAAGGCCACACAAAAGTAGAAGAATGTCGCTGTCTATCTTGACCAGCAAGAAGGACATGACCACGACTCTTCTTCAAGCAGTTTATTCAGGAACCTTGTACATCAGCTTCTCATTCTCCTACCGCAGCTTCTCTCTCTGCTTCTGCCTCTCCCAGGCCCCTGGCAAGCCCTTAAATGCAAGCTTATTCCCCAATGAACTCACACCACCTGACAATCCAGGATAGCAAGCTCATTACCCAATTAGCTCACGCCACCTGGTGATCCTGGATAGGTCACAGCTGGAGGAGGCACACCAGATCCACTAAGCGCTTCCATATAAGGCTTGTTTACAGCTAAGCTCGGTCTCCCTGGCATCCAGTCAGGCACCATCTTGGGGCTGTGGCTCCCCACAGTTCCCTTTTTTATTTAAAAATAACACAACAGGCAAGGGTAGAGGTCTGATCCCTGAAATCATGGGACTTTGTAATGACCCCACGCCCAGTTATCAGCGGAGCTGGTGCCACACCTGTCCGGTATCTTTTCTCAGAGATGGGAGTACAATACCAACCCATATGCAATCAGACATGCCCTTCATGAAACCTTGGAACGCTGACTTCAAGTGCAGTACTTCCTCTCGCAGCCTGAGTGGGATGACTGCTTAGCTCTTTAGTACTGTTAGCCAAGCCTGAGGTGACTGCCCTGCCTCCAGGGCCGCGAAGGCTTGTGCAATCATGGCATTACTTCTC